ATAGTTCAAACATGGAAAGCAGGACCCTCTCAAAGGTCAGAGCACACATGAACAATATGAAGCACGTTATTTAGCACTTCTGGGTTGCAAAGAGGCTTGCAGCAGCAGCAGCTTAAGCAGCTTAAATAGTGCACCCTGATATATCAGGTTTATCGAACTGAAGTGTCTCATAAGTCATCAGCCAAAACAACTGAAATGAGCTTTAAATGAGATCAGCTCTACTTAATGACACACCAGAACTAATGCTATGCTCAAATTCACCCAACATTAGTGGTATTCATAACACAGCAGAGCAACCACCTGATCTAGTCTAAATAATGTGATGCAATGCTGAAAGCTTATTATGACTTTTTTGTCAAATAATGCCAAAAACATTACCTACATTCAGAATTAAAGTTGTTTTGACTTACCATATTCTTAACAATTAACCTAAGTGATATCAGAAATTATGGGTAAAGTCACAAAAATAATACCCAAGAGGTAAAAGAAGCAATTTTTTAACACTAACAATAACCCTCTATGAAAACTGGAAGGCTTCCTCCTCTCCCCTCTCTCATGCTCTGAGTGTTTATTATTTCTCTCCAGTAACAATAATTCTGACCTCCAAGCCTCGCCGGGTATTGAAAATCAGATCATTTACAATATTTTGGAGCAAAAGAGCCTCATGTTAAACACAGACTTCCATTAAATGTTTGTTTTAAGAGTCCTTGTTATGATCTGGTTCTCTTCCAACGTTTAGTCACAGCAATTACGGAAAACCTCAAACATTAACAGTGGCTGTTGGGCGGTAATAAAAAAAACATTATCGGTTAATCTCGGGGGATCGGCACATCGCGGCAGTGTGCAAAAGCTGACACAGAAATCGTGTGCACCTTTAAACAGCCATGCAGTTTATTTTAAAGACTCTACATTAGCTATACAGACCAGAATGAAGATAAGCTGGAATACAAATGTGCATTAATAAATGCTAATTAAGATGAAAATTAGATATTTTGTCAGGTGAGTCTGATGTTTTACCACCGAAAGTCACTTTTCATACAGAGATTAAGTTTTGCTTTTTAGCCAAAGGAACTTAAAATAATCAATGCTTCAGATATGTACGATCCAAGTTTGTGTAAAATGATAAGTCAGAGAATTAGCATCAAGTCTACTGAGCTTTTTAGCCTGTTTTAGTTTATGTTTTTTTTTTTTTTACCTTGATGGCTGCCTGCACAAGTCTAACCACCAGCAGAAGCAATACAATGCTGATGATACACCACAGACTGCTCTTTGTGTCTGACATCTGATAGTTTATGCTGCCATTATATACCCCAAAGATTCAGGCTCCAGTTACACCGCTAACCCATCAATGTGTTTACCCTATCGCATGGTATCCATCACTCACACTGGCAATCGCTTTAATTACATAGAACATGCTCAATTTCCATCTCTAATGGTTACTCTACCTCCATGCACCATGATGTCCCCCATTGGCTGGTGAAATCTCTCTGAGGATTTTTGCTGCCACTGTGTTGGTGTTTTTAAACTATGTGTAATAAACGAGGGGTAAATCTGGGGGTAGAGACCTGTCAATCACGAAACAGACCAACCCTAAAGCACACACAGCTTTATAGTCCTTTTTGATTCTAATGGAGACCATAATTTACTAAACGAACATCGTGTTTTATTAAATGAGACTTGAAACTAGTAATTGAGACTATATACTCACAAGGAAAGTATTTACTGAGGTCATAAATCAACAGAGAACATTTTCCCATAGACTTCTTTACCGCCTGACGTCTCGTTGCTACCTGTGTGGTTTAATTCAAAAATAAAGTGTCTACACTCTGTGTTTGAGGGGGCTTTTTTGTCTGAAAAACAAAGAAAAACAGCTTTTCTCATGGAAACAGATGAAAGAGACAAACAAACAGACAAAAAGGTGCATGTGTTGTGGCCCATTATTCATGCATCATGTGACTGGAGGAGAAAAAAACTGGATGGGAAACTCTCTGAGCCGGAGGACTACTTGACTAAGACTCCACTGGAGCAGCGCAGAAGAAAATTGTTTTTACTGGGCAGCTACCAGCATGTCAATTAGTCAAAGAGACTCTAGAAGTGAAGTATGTTTCAAAATTTCCCCTTTGAAAAATAACTGTTAAAATAAACCGTGAGTCATGGGCAGAGCTTCCTGCGTGTGCATTTTTCTTACTGTAGATGTATTTTTAAGCAAAAACTTTCCCCTGATATCAGTCAGGAAAACTGGGACAAAGAGTTAACTGACTCCTATGTAACTGTGTGCTGTGGGAGGTGGGACAAACTGCTAACAAAAAAGGAAGAATGTATGCAAAACCTCAAGGCTCTGCATCGATTTATAGTTTTGAGGTAAAGTCATGTTCTAATGGGAACAATATTATAAGCCAAATGAGGGGGAGAATAAATCCATCTGAGGGCCAGCTGGGCGTTTCATGTCAAAGAGGTGCAAGCTGGGATTAATCCTGTCCCATTTTATAAACTGTCAAATTCCAAAAAAACTAACAAAAATCAGTCGACTCAGATGAAACGCAGCTGCACTATGTGAAGGAGCTGAAAGGACCAGGAGGTGAAAGGTAAACGCTAAGAAAAGCTGTTTCCATGGCACCAAGAAGTATGATTTGTTTATTTCCAGCCTCTGTCTTCAGTTTTGGATAAAAGATTATAATCTTAAGCATCTTTGGAAGACTCGTCGTTCCTCTCAGTAAATCCGCCTGTGCTCGAATCTACAAAACTTCAGAAAAACATCTTCGGTTTGCTTCCTGTCTTTGTTGTTTATCGCCTCTGAGTACACCATGGTCCATTTCTATCTCTGAGCTTATGTCTGTTTTTCATTCCTTTCCCTGTAAGGCTGCATAGATCTGACGAGGAGTTCAACAGGAGGCAGGCTGCGCTAACTTC